GTCGTCCTTGCTGCCTTCCGGTACCCGGGGGGGAGGAGAGCACAACCGAAATAGTGATGGGTTTGCACTCAGGCTTCGTAATCTGGTAGGGGGAAAAAAAAAATCCTGTTATTTTTCTTTCCAGCACAGGAGCGGGTGTTAACTGTGGGCTCTTGGCCAAAACACGCAGTTTTACCCCCAGCATTTCACTGCTCGGGTCTGAAGTGCCTCCCACGTGCCGAGGAGATGCCGTCTGCCCTTTTGCTGTCAGTGGTGCTGGGTAGGGGGAAGCACGGGACAGGGCCATGTGCTGCAGCAGCGGGTGGTCTCCTAGCCTGGGTCCTGCGCTGCTGAAACCCCCCTGGCTGTGTTTCAGAGGGAGTGAAAGCACAGGCAGGGTTTCAGGGTGTACCTGTATCCCCTTTCACAAAGCTGATATGCCAGCGGGGGTGGCATTCCTCCAGGAATGTTGTTTTCCTTGGTGTTCAGCTAACGCTCAGCTGTGCAGCTGCGCTCTTGGCCAGGAGCTCAGCTGTGTGACACACAGATACCTACACAAAGATGTTTCCATCCCAGAGGACCTCCACAAAGTGCATTGGCAGCCTGCAGGGCCCTGCTCCAAAACTTGCTTTCTGACTGACTTTTTGGAGTCATGGGAAGTGAAATTCCTGGAGAGACTTGCCCAGAGGTGGGAAGAAGTTTGGCTGTGTTCGAACAAGAAGGTGGGAGGAGAGGAAGGAAGGCTGATTACTCAGGGTAACAGGAAGAGAGGAGAATCGAGGAGAGGTGTAGGTTGAGTTGGAATGGAAATGTAGCAACTTCAAAGATCACAAAGTTTTAGGCTGGGGGCTGGTGAAATTCACGGGTAAAAGGGTGCTTGGACCCAGCCTGGTTCTTTTGAAGGTGCTCAGAGTGTCTCAATCTAGCCTGACCTTGCTCCCCTGTGTGTGGTCTTCAATTTTTTTTGTTGGATTTAGAGCAAAAGAGAAGAGAAACACCCTCTTTGCTGAATAGCTTCCCAAATGCATCACATCTTTACGCTACACTACGTGGATGGTACTCTTAGCAACACGTGACACGAGCCCTTGGTGTGCAGACGCTGTGACTTTGATTCTCTGTCTTTGAGGTGGGGCTGTCATCACAGGGAGGGGCATTTCTGGTAACGGCAGGGGGCTGGAGTTCATAGGTGGTACCACCTTTCAACAGCAAATAGAATTTGTAAATAAATGGTATGCCTCGGTAGTGCTTGCCTATTTCTCAGTAACAGACAAATAGGTAGAAGATGTGCAAAATTGAGTCAGACAACAAAGTCTCTCGGAAAACTGAGGTGGGATAAACCTCCTCTCGTCCAAGATCATTTTTGCAGTTTGAACCAGCCCCTCCGAGTGTCCCCCAGGCCAAGCTCTGTGAGGTGCTGGAAGAGGAGCTGATGGAGGCGGGGATGGGGTCTCCTTCCCCCAACCACGGTGCAGATCTGAGCCTTGCCCCCTTCATAGCTGCCTGTCTGCAGCTGCCCGACGGTGGTGTTGTGTCACTTGCCGCCAGTTCAGGCTGGACATCACAGCCGGTAGAACCAGAAGTGGTCTGTTCATCAGGTGTTTCTATGTGCTTAATTGGGAGAGCTTTGAAATCCAGCTCCTGTTTGCTGCTGCTGCCGAATTTGCGGGGCCTGGGCTGTGCTGAGCTCTTGGCTCAGGTTTTCCTGTCCAGGATCTGAGAGGGGTTTGCCTTTCTCCCGCTCACCAGTGGTAGGGAGGGGGTAGAGTCTCTCCTGCCTGTCGCAGTCTGACTCCTCACACTGGAAGGGGATTGTTATGGCCTTGCAGCTGCCTGGCTGGCGGAAGTAGCGCAGCGTAAGGGTCAGCAGTGCCTGGGGTCTGTGGAGCAGAGCTTGCTCTGCACCAAGGGCTGCCCTGTGGTGTGCCTTGAGAGATAGGTGCTTGGCAAGCTTAGTGGCTACTGTGTGTCTCTCAGTATTTATCAGCCACTAGTCATCTTAAAATCACATTAGCCTCTTTCTTGTACCCGCCTCCTTGTGCAGCTGTCTCCAGACATTTTCCTTTCAGCTTGCCCTCCCTATTTTTTACCCCCAGAGCCCCCTGTTCTCCACCCAGGTTGCTTTTTTGACCTCTCCTGTGGGGGTGGCTGAGAGGGTCACTGCTCCAGCAGCTTCTCCTCACCTACCAGCTGGTGGTTGCTTCCCCCAAGCTCTGCCCGTGGAGCAGAGGATGCGAGATCTTGACACGGTCAATTCCAGAGGGCTGAATTGAGCCACTTGAACTTTGCGCTGGAGCAGATCGGGAGCGCTCCCATGCCAACTCTGTGCTGAGATCCTGGCCTCAGACAGAAGCAGAGCCCCTCAAGACAGAGGTAGGGCTCTCTGGTGAGCGAGCAGCCAGCTGCTTGTTCCAGATCACAGGTGTCTTCCCTGCTGCTGTTACTGGTTTTGCTGCTGTGGGAAGGTTCAGGGCGCACAAGGGGCAGCCGAGTCTGCTGCAGGGAACCACCTCCCAGCAGTCAGCACCCCACTTCTGCCACCAAGAGGGAGCAAAGGCTGTCACTTAGACCCTCCCTATCCCCCATCCCTCCCTCTCCCTCCCTCTATCCTACCTTTCCATCTCACCCTTCCTTGGGAGGAGCTGATGTTTTGCTGTTGCGATGCAGGAACAGATCATTTAATGGGTCATGGGAGACGCGGGTATCCAAAAAACATCCATCTGATGTTCAGCCAGAGCTGCTTGTGATCCCCCACCCCACTTCATCCCTCTCCTCAGCCCAAAACTAGAGCATTCTCTCCACCTCATCTTCCCCATTTGGCTGCTGCAAAGCTGAGTTTGCCTGCACTGACTCGACGTCTTGATCTCTCCCTGATCGGGAAGCCATGTGCATGAGCAGAGCTCAGAGGGATGCCCACAAAGGATTTATTTCCCATGTGTGGGGAGCACAGAAACTAATGGGTATTGCAGTGTCTCTGCCAGGCTTCCTCTGTCCTGATTGATTCAGTGCCCGGCGGTAGTGAGAGCGCAAGGGATTTTAAAGGAAAACGCTGTCTCTAAAGCATCTTTGGTGTTGGCCAGACTGGGTGGGATAAGGGCGTGCTACAGACAGCGCTGACCTGCCGCTTTGTTTTTTTAAATCCGCATCTGAATCATCGTCGGCAGGCTCATTTGGCAGCTTGCGCAGGCTGGCAGCACACAGCTTACCTCCTGACAGATTTCTCATCCTCACCCTTTGTGCTGTAGCTGGTTGAGGCACGAGTTAGGAAGGCACCTGGCATTTTTAAGCCTTCTGTACCCTAAAACTATGGGAAACGCTCCCAAGTTTGAAGTGTAAAGCTCTGTTCCCTCTGGTTCTCACTCAGAATGTCACATCTCGCCATGATTTGTGTTACTTCTCCCGTGCTCTTCCCCGACTTTGTTCTGGGGCCACATTTCTCCTTTCAGCTAATCTTTATCTGGAGGTTATGAGCCAGGTTTCCCTCCACAGACTGGTTTTCCCTGAGACTGTACTCACAGCCTCCACGTACTGTCTCCAGGGGCAAAGAGCAGGAAATAGACCCTGGCTATTTCCACAACTTCTCCGGTGGTGGTTAGTGTTTCAGACTGTGGTGACTTGAAGTAGCAGAATGCTTTGCTTGAATACATAAAGTCTCTTGAAGGTGCAGCTCTACTGAAAAAATGCAGTTTTGTTGTTTAGAATGAAAGAAAAGCAGTATGGGTCTCTTAAAAATGAAAAATGGATGAGTTTTTTCTTAACTCCCATAGTCTCTGCCAGGTTACTTGTAGCTGCTGCATAGCAGGTACTACCCCACTGCCATGTACCCCGACTCAGGGGGTGTCAGGTCACCTGGGTGCTTGTCTTGAACTGCCTTTGCGTGAGGTGACGTTCGATAGCCTTATGGCTTTGCAGGGAAACATCCCCCCTGGCTAGGGGAAATGCTGGCATCGCCTCGCTTTCGGTAGTGTAAAGGATAGATGAAAAAGTGCTCCGTGTTAGGTGGAAGCCACTCATTCTTCATCTGCCCTTTTTTCAGTACCTGGAAGCAATTCTGACCCCAGTAAATTGTGATCCATGGCTACAGTGCTAATATGCCGAAGATTTCCAAGGCTGAGCAGGGTGACTGCATTGTCAACTACAGCAAAGTGCGAGGCCAAGAGCGGAAGTGGCAAAAGTGAGCAGAAAAGGGAAGAGAACCCAGAAACAGCCAACATCAGAACCGAACCTGTGGCTACAATCCAATTGCTGAATCCCCTGGACTACAGAGTATCGTATAATCCATCTGCCTATGCCAAAAGCAGAGCTGCCTCCCAGCAGCATGCTGCTGGCAACAGCGGCCAGGCTCTGGGTGACGCTTTCACCAGCCCTGGCACCGCACAGGTTCCGCACGCGTTGGGTACCGCCTCTTCTCAAGCTTTGCCACCTCTGAGAAAGGCCCTGCCAAAGCCCATGTCCAAACCGCTCCTCAGTCAGACCATCTCGGCGTGTTTCTCTGCGGCACAGAGCAGGCAGGAGGCAGAAGAGGAAAAGGCAGAGAGGCACGACTCCAAGGAGGACCCCCGCGTGTTTCAGAGGGGGCGGCCTGAGTACAGATCTCTCAGCTATGACAAGTCTGAGCCGAGAGAGACCCTTCCGTTGGAAGAAGGCAACTCCGTTTTACACAGTGTGGCCGTTTGCAAGGGCAGCCAGAGCCCAGGCACCATCCTGGATCATTTTTGCAAGTTGAGTCGCTTGCCAGCGGAACACCGCGCGGCCTTGCTGTCCGACCCCAGGTTTAACATGCTGTGTCGCGGCGCTGTCCAAAACCTCGGGTCGTTCAGCACATCAGAGCTCGTCGGGGTTTTGAAGGCTTGCGTTCGCCTGGCCCTTCCGCCCACCCACCCTTTGCTGAGCGCCTGCGAGAACGAGTTCTGCCGGCGGGCGTGGGACATGCAGCTGGCAGAGCTGCTGCTGGTGGCTGACTGCTGGCGCTGCCTGGAGCGTAGTGTGCCTTCCTACCTGAGCATCTTGTTCAGCTATGCCAACGTGCGCTGGAAAGACCTCACTTTGCCCCAGTTTGTTCAGCTCCTGTATATCATAGGTGAAGGCCGGAGGTCTCCCGCGGACTTGATGCAGAAGGTGGAGAGCATGATTTTGAAGCACTTGGACGCCTTCACCTTGGAGGAGGTGGGTACTATCTGCTTAGGGCTCTTCAAATCCCTCAGTGGCATCTCTGACCACGTCATGAGGAAGATCGCGGACAGAGTCACCCTGCAGATGGAACACATGAGCACCTATGCGTTGGTCAACGTCCTTAAAATGCTCCGCTACGCTCGCCTGGACCACTTACCCCTCTTGAAGGAACTTGGGAAGGTTGTACCCGCTCGGATCCCTACGATAAACATCCAGGGCATCATGCACATCACTCTTAGCTGTTCATCCCTACACTACTTCAACGAAGGCATTATGGCTGCTGTGGCCATGTCCTTGCCTTCTAAGGTGTCCTACTGCCGGAGCAAAGACGCTGCCAAGTTCCTCTGGTCCTTTGGATGCCTGGACTACGAGCCTCCGAATGAGGAGGAGTTTTACTCCAGCCTGATAAAGCAGATGCATGCAAAACTGCACGAATTTAGGAAGTTTCCGGAGCATCTGCTTACTGGTTTGCTTGGCCTGGCATTTGTCAAACGCTTCCCAGAGGAGCTGATAGATTACGCTTTGAGGGATGAGTTTGTACAGTTAACGAGAGATAGCAAATACGAGCTGAAAAAGGACCTGTTCACTCTTAGCAGGAGTGTGGAAATTGAGTGCCCAAGCTACCAGGGCAGCCGCCTTCCACCTCAGTTTTATCACGAGATTACCGAGTTGGTTTTGAATTTCGCAGAGCAGGAAATCTATGTCAGGCCTGAAATCGTGGAAGCCGTGTCCCTTCTGGAGAGCATGTTAGGTGGCCCCGAGTACGTGAAAAACCACATGATCCTGCCTCACACGAGGTCGAGTGATCTGGAGGTTCATTTGGCCATGGATGGACATCCCATCCCTTTCAACTTGAAGGACCCTGTTGCAGACAAGAAACTAAAAGACATCGGAGTTAGTCTCACAGACGATTTACTGACTCAGCTTATAACGGGGAGATTTAGTGGCCAGTCTCCCGTGGAGGTGGAAAACAAAGCCAGGACTCCTGCTCAGGAGAGTCTGCGCGCTGGGGATTGCGCCGTGCTCTCTGGTGGGACTCCGATCACGGATGCCAGGTTGCAAGTTGAGCCTAAATCGGGGCGCTCTCTTGAAGCCTCTTCCCTTGCCTTGAATCCGCAGCCTCAGAGGGTGAAGCTGGCTATCCAGGTGTCCAACCGAAACCACTACTGCTACTGCTCCAAGCGACTCTTGGGGCTGCACTGCTTGAAACGGCGGCAGCTGCGGCTGCTGGGGTACGTGGTGGTGGAGCTTCCCTTCTGGGAATGGTTTCCCCTGCTCAAGCGCACGCGTTTGGAGAAGCTGAGCTACCTCCACTACAAAGTGTTTGACCCGGCGCAGCTCAGAGTGGGGGGCTAGTCGGAGGCGGTGCGTGCTCGGAGGCCAGCGCGCCCTTCCCAGGCGCATCTCTCTTTCCCAGTACCGAGTAAAGTGGTCTCTGAGCATCGGGCAGGTTTTTGGTGGGTGCTGTGTGCGCTCAGGCTGCCCGGCTGCGTTAGCGGGTTCTGCTTCACTGACGGCTGTCCGTCCCGCGCTCTCCTTCTGTACGTAGACCCTCACATGCTTCCATGGCAAATAAAAACTAGTCCTGTTCGTTTTTCTCCGAGATTACTTTTTTCCTTTGTCCTGAGTGGAAGCGAATGGATTTGGTGTCTCTGTGAGAGCAGAACAGGGATATTTGGGAGAATATTGGGGTGATTTTTAGCCACGAAGGTGACCTGGGTGCTGGGAACGCACGTGTATTTCCTTACCGTTTCCATCACCGCTGCGCGGGGGCTGGTGGGCACGCTGTCCGAGTTTCTCCTTCGGGAGCTGTGCTTGAGCAGGACAGAGCGTGAAGGTCCTGTGCAAACTGTCGCTGTGTGGAGCATCTGCTCTGCAGGCAGCTGGCTTCACCCTCCGGCACACAGCTCATCCTGTTATTTTCTTGCTCAGGATGGGGCCTGCGGTCCGATTTCTGCACGCCGTTGTGAGGACAAAGTTCCTGGCCTCTTGCTGAACTTCCAGGTGGTGTATCCCTCTGAGAGGAGGGATGTTTCCTGAGGTGCACAGGGCAGGCTGTGCATCTGAGCAGAGCTGCAGGGATTATTTCACACAGAGGGGCAGGTGGAGCTCCCGTTCCCACTGCAAAGGCAGCTGAGCTGTTCTGCTCTCCTGCAGAAGGAGGAGAGCATCATTTCAAGGCACACTGTGGCGGAGGAGGGGGAAGGACGTCGCTGTAAGCAGGTTGTTCTCCTAAGGCAGACCCTGTATATTCGCTCGTTTTGGTTTAAAATGGGCTGGTTTTTTGCTTTCCCTCAAAACCTCAGCATTACAGAGCACCTCAGTTCGGTGACCACTGTGCGCGTTCCTTACTCCAGCAGCTCTCCGCAGGACACTGGGAAGGCAGGTGGTACTAGCTCCACAAAGCCTGGTTTTAAATTACTTGGACAAGACCACAGAGGACCTTACTGGCACAGAAGAGGGCGAAGTGCCGTCCTTCAGGCCCATGCTTCGCCACCGCAGGTGCAAGATCTTTGTTCGCCTTAGGGAAGGCGTGCACATGCTGATGGCACTTTGTAGTCTTGGAGTCCCTCAAGATGTTGGAGTCCTTTAGTGATGACTTTAGGAATGCAGCTTTCTGGGTGTTGTGGTTTTTAAGTGTTCGTAAATTCGGAGCCTCTGCGTCGCAGCTGCCTGGGTTGTCACTAGCACAGGAGACCTCCACACAAGTTTGGGGTGTGATGGCACAGTAGCCATGGGAAGCTGCATCTGCTGCCTCATCCCATGTTTTTTCTAGAGCTTTTTACAGCCTGCGTTTCCACGGCTCTTGCTTCAGCCCAGGCTCTTTATCAGAGGGGTCCTGGGCTCATTGTCCCCATCTGATCCTGGCAGATCTGTTGCTCTCGTCTGCTTTTGCCTGTGCCTGCTGATTCTCATTCCCAGCCTGCTTCTCTGGCCTCAGCCAGTCCCTTTACCTTCCTATCCCAGCGTGTCTAGCCAGTTCTCACTTTCCTTTGCACAGAAGCTTATTCCTAATCTCATTCCAGTTTCTCATTTCATCTGTCCCTTCATCCCCACTGTCTGTCTTCTGAGCAGCATTGTCGTGGAAGAGTAAAAAATCATAGTTGTGGTTAAAAACAGCTCAGTGACCAGCTTTTGCTGGGAAGCAAGAGCATAGCAGAGCTTTCCAGAAGGAGGGAGGCTGGGTCATGCAGCGTAATGCGTTTTCTTACTGAGGTGGAAAAATGAGCCTGTGTTGTCTTAGTCTGTCAGGGCCACAAATGGGTAGGAGAGAATCCTATAAACTACACCTGTATATGTACCATAGCTCCTTGTGCTGCAGAACAGAGAGCAACTGAATTGGAAGCAAGTTTAGTGAAAGAATAAATTGCTTGTAATTAACCAGAGCTAATTGCCACAGCTTGTTAAGAGTGCGGTAGAAAAGGATGAAGATTCAGGATGCAGGCTCAGTAACAGCCTTAGGCTTGAAAGAAGATGTGAGCCTGTCCTGAGGAATTGCTTGCACCCACCCGGGATTTGCCTGTCATGAGGCAGCACTGAGAGGTTGCACAAGATCTACAGGAGAATTCGGCATCCGCCACAGGCAGGATCTCAGTAGGCAGTTGCTTGTGAGGAGTGAGTTCTGGAAATGCTGGGTTTTCGGGAATGCAGAGGTGAAGGTGCCTCACGCCGCTCACCGACATTCAGGGAAGGACTCAGCAAGGCTTGCCGAATGCAAATTCACCGGTCTGGTCAGGCTGGAAGGGGTACAGAGAGGTCTTCCATGCAGGAAAGAGGCATGAGTGGGATTAGGTGAGAGGGCAAATCTTGAGTCATTCCAAGTGAGGGAGTAAAGAGGATTTGCTACTTTTTCATAATACCAGCACTAAGAGGGCCAAGCTAATTTACCAGGCAACAGGTTCAGAATGAATCAAAAGCCATAGTTCTGTCACACAGACTGTAGTTAAACCCGCAGTCTTACTCCCACGGGATGCAGGTTCCAGAAGTCAGATGCATCCAAAAGCCTATTTGAACGATTCCTTGCTGGCAACCTTGTACTGAGCCTCTCGGGCTCAGGAAGCCGAGAAAGCAGTCCTGGAGGAGCATCCGTTTGGCCTTGTCCCGTACCTGTGCTCGCTGTTGAGGAGCAGGAATAGCTCCCGCTGGCTGTCAGACCAGATATTGGGGTGGAAGGGGTGCTCGTCTGGCCCACTACGGCTCTCGTAGGTTGACACGTGCTTCAGTCAAGCATTGGCATCGTGACCCTCAAGCTCGGCTCCCTGCAAGCTTGGCTTCTCCTGTGTTCATTTTCATATGTGGGCTTTGTCCCTTGCTCTTGAAGGCAGCAGTGGGTTCCTGATTTGCAAGGTTGCCTGAGGCAATGACATATTAAAACTCGGGTTAACATAAGGTTAAGGCTCTTTACCTCCCAGATAATTTCATTCTTAAAAGGGATCTGCTGTAACCCATTCGAGTCACGTTTGTGTCAATGGGCAAGGCGGTGTGTTCACTTGAGTTTCTTTAATGAACGGTGGCAGAAGGATCAGCTGGGTCAGCATCCAGCACACGGGACGTCTCCCTTAGAGCCGTTAAATGCCCTCTGCTCCCTTGGAGCTATTTAATACCCATTATTAATATTTGTGTTTAATCTTGTCTTGCACCTGAGGCTCCCGAAGCCCTCGAGAAACGTTTCTCTTGGTGTCAGTGCTGTGTTAGTGCTGGCTGGTGTTACCTTTGTCCCGAGAGGCCCCGTCCCAGCTTGTCGCGCTGGGTGCTGTCCAGGAGCGGGGCAGGTCCTGCCTCAAACTGCTGAAGGCAGCGGATAGATGTGGCGTGCGGAGGGGGAACCGGGCACGGGGGCAAAGCGGTTCAAGGCCACACGGTGGGAATGGGCGCTGGTGGCTCTTTCAGCCTCACGCCGGGCAGATCCCGGAACACCCCATGTCCTCCAGGTCCGACTGAGGCTGCTGAGAGCTCGCACCGATTCCTTCCACAACCTCATGTGATACTCTGATGCTTTACTGCATCTGCAAAACCTCCTGCATTTTTGATAACCTTTCCCATCTGATTGCTAACCTGTCCGTAGGTAAGGCGTTCTTACTTAAAGTAGCCCTTTTCTCTTTGATGTTTCTCCAGGGGTTCACTAATTAATATTAACACGAGTTTTTCTCTCGAACCCATCTCCACCACAGTCACTTGGGTTTCTGTTGGCTTCATCTCCTGGACTCTGAGCTGCACTATAGGAACTACCAAGCTTGTAATTCATACAGACTCTGAAACGCAAGATCCGTTCGCTGATGTTCACTGTATTTATTTTGCCTTTTGTCTTGCCTTTTTTTCCCCCAAGCTGAATCTGATGCTCGGAAAGTGAGCTCTCTCCAACTGCCAAGATGGTAATAAACGTCTGTCTCCCACAGTTCAAGCCAAGAATTCACTGCAACAAGGTAAAGTAACGATGGGGGGTGGTTTTAGGGAGCTGGAGGGGTTAGGTGGAAGCGGCATGCTGGGCTGGTTGGGGCTGGGGAGGGCTCGGTTGCTGTTCATCCGTGATAATTAGTGTTTCTGGAAGGCTGATTTTTGGCTGGCCGTGCCAGGCTTTCCTGAGAAAACAAAGCAAAGGCAGCTCCCAGCAAACTCCGTCGGTTTGTGTGGTCTGGCTGGTTCAGAGAGGGACTTTAACATGGGGGGCTGTTTGTCCGCAGGCAGCAGGGGCACCGAGGACAGACGCAGCTAGGGCGTAGGCCTTTTAGTCTGCAAACCTGAGGGTGTTTTTGTCCATTAAAATCGTTCTCCAGTGATGTGGGAGAGTTGTGATTCATCCACAGCTTTCTCTTCCAAGCTCCCCCATCTCCTGTCATTCCCAGCAAGGTGGTTTTGTGAACCGGCGTTTGGAATCTGGGCTCCTGGATCCCCCTTCCCCATTTGGGCTTTGATATTGGGTCACCGATGTGCGAGCAGTAAGGGAACCCATGTCTGGGTGCTTGGGATCTGCAGCTCATGTGAAGATAAAGCAGAGCTGAAGGTTCAGTACTCTGAAAAATTGGTATTGAGAGGTTTCCCAGAAGTTACTCCTCAAAATTTGGGTTGTCCTGTCTGTGTTTTGGTCAGTCTCTGCCAGGTAGTGCCAGAACACTGTTATAACCTGGTGTGACTGCTGGGATGTGGCACACGCTAACTGTTGGAGGGAAATAGCCCTAATTTTGCAGGATCTCATCACAAGACAATGTTATGTGCTTACAGCTCAGTGCTTTGACTTGAAATACCCTTTTCCACGCAGTATGACAGCTTTCCCTTTGTCCAGTATAATATACACCTCTTGACAACATTGGCTGAAGTTACTTTACAAGCACTTGTGTTTTCACTCAGCATCATCAGAACCTCTTAGAAACTAACCCACGTTTAATTCACAGCCGTTTGTTAATTGGAAGTCTCCCTGCCAGCTCACACCCCAAAATCCCGGGCAGCCTTGGGTGTGTAAGTGCTGTGCTGTAAAAACAGCCGTGCAGGTGTGACCATCCATCTGGATGGGGAGCACGGGGAGACGGAGCCACGCTGCTGAGGTTTGGTGTGGTGGTTGTGGTCAGGAGGGTGTAGAGACCATATGAAGCACGTGGAATAAACAGATATTCTGTGATGTTATCTTTGCATTTAGGGCCATAGAATTGTTTTGGTTGGAAAAGACCGTTAAGACCATCAGTTCCAACTGTTAACCCAGCACTGCCAAGCCCACCACTAAACCCTGACCACCTCATCCACATGTCTCTTAAATCCTTCCAGGGATGGTGACTCCACCACCTCCCTGGCCAGCCTGTTCCAGTGCCTGACAGCCCTTTCCAGGAAGAAACTCTTCCTAATATCCAATCTAACCCTCCCTTGGCACAACTTGAGGCCATTTCCTCTTGTCCCATCACTCATATTCAGCCGCTGTCAACCAACACCCCCAGGTCCTTTTCTGCTGGGCAGCTTTCCAGCCCCTTGCCCCAAGCCTGTAGCGTTGCAGGGGGTTGTGGTGCCCCAAGTGCAGGCCCCGGCACTGGGCCTTGTTGACCCTCACACAGTGACCTCAGCCCATTGATCCAGCCTGTCCAGATCCCTCTGAAACCCTTCCTACCCTCAGGCAGATCAACACTCCTGTCTAGCTTGGTGCTGTCTGCAAACTGACTGAGGGTGTGCTCGATCCCCTCGTCCAGGGCACTGATGATGACACTGAACAGAACTGGCCCCAGTTTAGCACACGCTGCAGACCTTGGCGGCCCCAGCACCTCCAGGGAAGGGCAAGGGTAGAGCCAGTCTGCCCAGGAGCAGACCAGCGGGTGGGATTGCATGTTCTGGGAGACATGGGGTGGGCCCCAGACTGGTTAGACGGATCTCCCTGGGGGATGAGTAGGGCTAGTTGACCTCCAGAGACTTCTCTAGGATGCTGTGACCACGTGATTCGGTGTACAATTGCACGTGGCAGGGTAAGCTGACATGATTGATCCCTGTTGAAAGAGAGGAGACTCCCGTTTTCCCCCCACACACATGCTCTGCTCCCAACTGTGCTCTTCCACTTGATTCAGTTCTCTGTTCCAGCTGAAACCACAAGCAGTCCACAATTTTCCACTCTTTTCACAATTTATCAGCTCTGCAAGCGGCTGGCTGGGTAGCAGAGAAGGGTGGGAAGGACCAGTGGCTGGAGGAGGGTGGGAGTGTGTCTGATCCTCATCAGGGATCTCCTGTGTTGTCTCAGCTGCACGTGAAGCCACCGCCTTGGTTCCTGGTTGGTGTCATCTTAGAATCTACCTAAGTGCTTGTGAAACTGGTTTCCTTTTATTTTCTTCCTTCAAATTAAATCGTTTTCTCTTGAAACACAGATTTCTGCTGATGGTTACGAAGTGGAGAATCTGATCTCCGAAGACCTTGCCAGGAGAAATCGCGGTTTCCGCAGCGAATACTTCATCAAACCTCCAGTCCACGTCACCATCTCTTTTCCCTTCAACATTGAGATCTGCAGAATTAATATTGACATCTCATCCGGCGGTTACCAAACCTTCTCCGGGCTCGAAGTTTACACCTCTACCTCATGCAATAAAACCTCTTGGCAGAGCCCCGAGGGTCAGTTCTCAGGCCTGGCCGGTCAGCCTGTGTCAGACAAAGACACTTTCACACTGGTGGGCAAAGCTGTTTTAAAGAATCAAAGCAAAGTGACGTTCGGCCACCGAGGCTTCAAGCCGAGGCCTCCTTTCCACCAGATGGAAAATGTCTTCTCCTACCCTGGCTCTGCCTCTCAAGACCTCTGGAACAAAGGGCCCGCCTCGCTGAGCAACGTCTCGCACTTAAGGATCTGCATCACCCACGTAGCCGGGGGTGGCCTGCCTTGCATTAAGAGGCTGGAGGTGTGGGGACAGCCTGCCAAGTCCTGCCCGCAGGAGGTGATCGAGGGGGTCTTTCAGGTGGCCTCCCAGTTCTTCGCCCAGGATGTCGGCAGCCTCAAGCCGGAGCTCTGGACGCCGATGGAGAGCGACTGCGTGCCCTTCAGCGCCAGTGACAGCGAGCAGCAGGCCCTCCGCAAGCTGGTGGATGTCGTCCAGGACATCCCTGAAGAATTCCTGGACCCGATCACTCTGGAGATCATGACCTTCCCCATGCTCCTGCCCTCCGGGAAGGTGATTGACCAGACCACCTTGGAAAAATGCAACCGGAGTGAGGCGTCTTGGGGCAGGGTACCCAGCGATCCTTTCACTGGGGTGGCCTTCAGCCAGCACTCGCAGCCCCTACCTCACCCTACCCTCAAGGCCAGGATAGACCACTTCCTCTTACAGCACAGCATCCCTGGCACCAACCTGCTTGGCAGGGCTCACGCCTCGGAAACGCTCGTACCTTCTTCCATAACAATGTCTTCTCTGAAAAGGAAAATGGACTGTATGGATCAGAGCTCCGCCCAGCCACCTTATTTTTCTTCTACAAACTTACTTGTCACGTCTACCTCAGAGAACAGTGCGAAAAAAATGAAAACGGACAGTGACTCGCACTGGATCCAAATGGACTGTTCCACAGGTATCGTGGCTCCCTAAGTCACTCGTGTTTCTCCAGTGTCTTGGCAGCCTGGGGCCAGGTTTTTAAGTCGGGAGACTCCGGTACACATTCCCGGCAGGCTTCTGGAAAGCTTTAAGGCCGTTGTATTTTGCTGTTGATAGATGCCATGGCAGTCAGGTCATCGTCTCACCCCCCCTCTCCTCATCAGAACCCACCATCCCTGGGTGGTGTTTGCTCCCTTTCACATTTTCTCATCTCTAGCCTCCTCCTCCTCATTGTGTCACCTCTGCAGTCCGTTTCACAGCCCTCTTGTTTGCTCAGGTCACCGTGTTTCCCTTTTAGTTTGTATTTCCTTCCTCCTCCTTGCTTTCAAGCCACTCTTCTCATGGAGTCAGTGTTTTTGTCAGTGTGCTGGCTCAAAGTTTCTTTACCGCGGGCCGGTTACTGTCCCAGACGTCCAGTATGTTCTTGCAGCAGCAGGAAAAGTGAAGTCTGGTGGTGCAGTGGTGATGGCACAGGGGGTCCTGGCTGGATGTTGTCACAAGGGGTGAGGTGGGGAGGAAGGTGAGAATGGGGCACTAATCCTGCTCCTTGATTTCCCAGCCGGGCACTTCCGGCCCGTGCTTTTGATGCAGCCGGTTCCTTGCCCGCCTGGTGTCATCGCACAGACTGTGTCCCCAGGGGAGGCTGGCTCCTTCTCCCGGGGCTGCTCTGGCTGAGGCAGAGGCTGAGGCAGAAGAGCGTGTGGCTGCACGGCCTCCGGCCCACGCTGGCCTCGCTGCAGTGGCGCGAGGGCCTGGAACAAGTGGCAGCAAGGGAATTGCAGGTGGTGCTGCCTTCGGAGCAGGGAGGAGAGAACAGCACACGACAGCGCAGACTGGGAGAGACTTGCCCAGGGTTTGCAGTTGGTTAAATCACAAAACAGAGGCATTGGATGAGGGATGTGACTTGTGTCCGCAGAGGAAGGAAACGGGCACTGGTTTCCTTTCATCCTTGGTTTTCTCAGAGAGCTGGTTTAGTGCCGCTGGGCATGAGCTCCAGGAGGCACAAAACCAGCCCAGACCTGCAGCCCTAAGATAAATTCCCTGGAAAGCGGGGGGCTGTCACCCACCCCACCCCCCTGCCATGCCACAGCTTCTCCCCAGGCAGCCAGGGCAGCGCTGCAACCGCGCCAACAGCTTTGGGTCCACCACGCACTGGGACCGGCAGCGTTGGATGCTCCTCGCAGGTCCATTCACAGGCTGGACTGGTGAGGAGGAGGCAGACTTTAGAAAGGCAGGGTGATCCCGTGGTGTAAATACCAGGGAGATTCACACCTCTCTCCCCAAAATCTGTTTGCTCCTTATGGTTTATTCCCTAATGACCGATACCTTCAGCCCCCAGTCCGTGGCAAAGAGCGTGGCTCCCAGGCGATCGCTCTTGACTCCACGCTTAGATCTCCCACGCAGATCCGCGTCTGTTTTGCCGTGTTTGCATTCTCCCTTGTTGGTTCAGGAGTTCCTGAAACGCACTGGAGTCGCTGGCAGTGCGACCGCTCTGTGGATAGAACTGCACTGCGTACAGCAGCGCTTGGATCTTCTCTCTGCTCTCCTTAAAGCAAGCAATTTAGGCTCCAGGTAGTAATCCCACTGGAGGAGGAAGGTGGGAGAGGGAAATCCCACCTGGGAGGTGGGAGAGGGAAATCTTCAATAGCCTCACGTGTCGATGAGCTCGAGGAGAGCAGCAGAGCCTGTGAGGCCGTCTGTGGGGTAGGTCGGTGTGAATACGCGGTGCACGGGTGTCTCCTGCTCACGGAAGGGTTTCTCTCTGGGCAGGTAAGTCAAGTTTTCTTGTGTTCTCTAAACTAGGTGGTCTGTAACGTGTCAAAAAAGTGGCCTACAGCTTCTGATTGCTGTTATTGCCTCCTGGTACCTGTCCTTCCCTTCACCTTTCTCCTAAAATTCCCCCAAAACGCTTAAGTTTGATTTTTCAACAAATTCTTTAAAGGCTTTGTTGAAAACCATCGATGTTTGGTGATATTGGAAGGCGTAGGGAGAAGTCAGACTGCATGTTTCTGCTCTGAGCTCTCCGTCTAGAGCTCATTCCGGGTCTTAGGAGGAATCATTTTGATTGCGGAGGCGTGTAACAGCTCCAGCTGGGGATGTGCCCCAGCGCCGCAGGAGCAGGGACTGCCCCGTAGGGTCCTGGAGCTCCCGAGGGAGCCGTGCCCGTACATAAATAAAAGCAAAGTGCTTAGCCCAGGGAGCTCGTGCTTCAGTATTTCGTCAGCCTTGATTGCCGTGGCAAATGTACAGCACTAATTCCAAGGTCTTCCTCTGGGAGATGGATTTAACAGAATGAGTGATGCAGGCGCCATTCTCTTAATGCATAGGCTTAATTAACGCCGTCGGTTAATTAAGGACAAAACACTGCTGTACGCTGCAGGGAAGGTCCAACCCCGTGCCTTTGGCTTTATCCCCTGACTCGGAACTGGGACAGAGAGAAAAAAGCCCCCCAGATTTTGTTAGTGGCTTAGGTGTTCCCAGTTAGCTGCACTGGGCTGGGAGCCTCGGTGGGGCCGGCTGAGGGAGCTGCCCAGGGTTTCAGAGAGAAGCGAGCTTCTGGATTATTTAGCATCTTTGGCCTTGTTCAGACCTGCAGGTATAATCCAGCGCCTGAACGTTTGTTGGCTCTGGGGTATGACATGAATGTCTGTCAGGAACACGTAGGGCTGTTCATGACCCAAAGGAGATGGGGTGCTACATCCCTGTCCTGCACCTCAGTGGGGAATCACAGACCAGTTGGGGCAGGAAGGGTCCTTAAAGACCATCCAGTTCCGACCCCCCTGCCATGGGCAGGGACACCTTCCACTAGACCAGGTTGCTCAAAGCCGCATCCAGCCTGGCCTTAAACACTTCCAGGGATGGGGCATCTATAGCTTCTCTGGGCAACCTGTTCCAGAAAAGAGACTCCTCGAGAAAACAAGTGCCAGAGATCCGCAGATCCCCAGCGTTGTCCCTCCAAAAGGCTCGGAGGCAGAGCAGCATTTCTGCTGCTTATTCCCGGTATCCGCTTCTCAAGTTTGCGCTTCTCTTTGCAGATACGGTCTCTCATGAACAAAAACTCTCGGAGAGTTTGGACACAGCCTTGAACTCGGCACTCAGCTCGATGCCCTCGTTCACGGCCAAGCTGATGAAAAGCCAGCAGCAGGCGCAGAGCGAGGGAGGCTGCAGCAGTTCGTGGAGCGCAGGCACCATCCTCGGTAAGCAGCCAGCACTTTTGGGAGGGAGAACTGGGACCGGGTTAACGGAGGGGGTTGTGCTGCTGCTCAGCATCTTTCTGTACCTCTTTGCACCCAAAACCATTACGTATTCAATATAAAATAGCGTATTGTCGCCCAGCAAGCTTTACTTAACAGTCCCTAACTACTGCTGTTCTACCTCAGCAGTTGTGTTGGTATATCTGTGGTGTAGTGGTCCGTTCTATGATTCTCCCAGGGGGGCAGGTCAGACCTTGTTGACCCCCAGGAAGTGAGGGTCCATGTCCAAAATCAGAGCGGGCTTCAGCACGAGTCCTGTGATTTGCCCCTGTTGTTGGCCGTAGCTGGCCGGCGCTGCCCGGGGCCGATCTTGGACGCGTTGCGCCGGGAGGCAGTGCTCAGCCCAGCCTGCACCAGCTTGGTCCAGCCCCAGAGCTCGCTCCGGCAAGGCTTGGGCAGCTCCCAGAGCGCTGCGAGTCGGGCAGAGCGGCTTTGATGTTGCCAGGCGGCTGCACGCAGCAGGCCAGAGAGTTGCTGCCTGGATGGGGAATGAGCCTGGGGCGGAGGTGCAGCTGGAGGGGGACGAGTCCTGCAAATGCCCTGTAGCACGCTGACCCCCGACAGGAACAGGTAATGGGAGCGACATCACAGGTCGACCAGCCAGGTGTGTGCCTGGAATCCCTTCGGCTTTCAACAGGTATCAGGCTGTTGAGTCCTCTCAGATTTCATCACACCTGCTTGTTAGGTTACTCGAGCTGTGTAGGCATCCCTGGAAGGATTTCTTCGGGGTGTGGGGAAGCACTAAATGTGTCCTCCCATGAGCCAATGCCCTAACTGCTGGCTTAGAATCATGGAATCCTTTTGGTTGGAAAAGACATTTCAGACCATCAATTC